GCGAGCAGCATGGCGAGCAAAGCGACGAGGATCAGACAAAGTAGAGGTGGAAATAATGCTGTATTGAGCCACGGTGTCTGAAACTTAAAATAAAATAGGAATGTTTTTTTGAAAATTGTCTTACAAAAGATATTAAAAATAGTTTTATTTTAGAGTAAGATATATTAATTAGAAAACAATTACAAAATGTCTCGTTAAATGAGTTACGCTTTTGGCGCTTCGACTTCACCCTTCGTCGGCATCGAAGGCTGATCGGATTTTTCGATCACATCGACTTTGTATAGCGTATTATACAACTTGGCATATGTTAGATATCTATCGCGAGATTCTTCCGGAATCTGGTCAAGATATTTTTTAACTTTTGTGATCACTTTCAGCTCATACGGTGATTTCTTCACGGTCTTTTTACTCCTCAAGAACGACTTAGGTAATCTACCCAAGCGTTTCATCCAATTGTCCCAATCGTCATGCAACAACTTAAGATAGACGTAGGGATGTACGCGTTCATACGCGAGGTCATAATTACTTAGTTTTTTTCCAAGCAGTTCCCGTACTCTTTGCAGTTCAGAAAAATCACCGGCTCCTGTGCCGGGTCCGATAATTATTATCTTGGGAGCAAGAGCTGAACCTCGTTCTTCATTAACTAAATGAGTACGGTCGCGAACCAAAGGCGTTTTCTTGTTTGATGAAGTCGCCGATGCTAACGAGTGTACACGCTGGTTATCGACAAACTTATCACGACAAGGCCCTAAATGAGCTATCGTGACATTAGTACGACAGTTAGTCGCCTGGAAGATGCACGCGTTCGGGTAAGTTTTGTTGTCGAAACCGCACACAGGAGCGTTGTCATCATCACATCGTGCGTCAGCACACAGTAAAGTGTTATTTTGAAAAACGATAGCGTTTTCGTGATGATTATCGATCACAGAGGCAGCAGCAGAAGATGACGTGACGGTAACAGCAACAAACGTGAAGGTGACAGAAAGCTTCATGCTTAGCTTTGTTGGAGGCAATGGAGTAGGGAGTGTAGAAATGATGAGGCAATGGATTAGGGAGTGTAGAAATGATGAGGCAATGGATTAGGGGAGTATAGAAATGATGACTCCAGGCGAAGGCCACGACAATCTGCAACTTTTTGTGGTTCAAGATTCCTAGAGATTGTGCTGGAAGCACTTGGGATAAGCACCTTGTAAAATTCAAATGTTGCAGCCTATCACTTTGGAATGGAGTAGAAAAAGTGAGTACTTTGTACTCTGGAAAGAGGTAGTCAGCACATTTGTGTTTGTTATTTGTGCCCGTAATGTCGATTGAGGTAAGTTCAGCCCCTGTGGCTATCACGTAGCGATTCAATTTTGCACTTCGATGCCCATTTAAAGAAGTGACGTACGTCTTTATCGTATACATTGTAATCTCAACAGAACTTCTGGACACAAAGATGTCCATGGAGATGGTCAGAGGAGAAGAGAGAGTGCAAAATATCTTGGGATGTGATGTATTTAATATATATATTTGGAATTGGTAAAGTAACATTTGTGGTTTGAGTGCAAAAAAATGAAACTCGAGGAAATTGATCCTCGCACATTTGAATGGAAAATTCTATAAGTATTGGTACATATAATGGTGTTCTTCATTGCACTTAAGTGACATGTCCATTTCATCTTTTGCACGGTCTCGGGCTGCGCTGCGTCGCGAGCCTAAGCCAGATACGAGAGTATTGGACGATTAGGATCTAGTAGAGGTCAAAGAAGCTTTCCGTCTCTTTGTTACAGATTCTAACGGTACATCGACATGTGGGAACTCAAAGCGGCTATGCGAGCGCTCGGATTTCAACTAAGGAAAGCAAAGATCTGTCAGATGATTGTTGATATTGGTAAGGACGAGGTACAGACAACCAATCAAACTTTGAACAGATGACGAGTGGATTCCCACTACGCTTTTTCATGGCGCGATAAAATCATTCCTCGTGAATTCCATCTCCATCACGATCTGCTTCATCAATCATCTCATGCATTTCTTCATCCGTGATAGTTTCGCCTAGTTTGGTACACACACGCATTAAGTTTTGTCATCATCGTCAAAAAATTGAAAGATCTTCAGAATTTCTTCCCATTTATATCGTGAGTACTAAATCGACAAAAAGATTCGTTTTTAGATTGGTGAGTTTCATAAAGTAGACCCTTTTGTGTATGTACTATTTTACCGGATGATCTCAGCGACGACAATTGATAGTCATGTAATGCTGAACATTTTTCAGGAGAATGTAGTGGATCAAAATGCTTTTACGTATATCCCAGTGTCTCTTATGTATAAACATCGGTGATATGAGTCAAGTGCTTCTTCGCTTAGCTGCCTGCCAGCTTCGCTACACCATCTGGTACTTACATCAGCGTCAGGAATAAATACATATGTCAGTTGTACAGTTTTCGATTTATTTCTAGCCTTTGGTTCAAATTGTTGCTCTAAAAAAATGACTAGTTTGTTGATATCATCGTTTTCTGCACTATAAAATGAAATTTTTCTATTATTTGCTAGTGCAAAAATCCGGTTTAAAGGTGGATGTCACGATCAGAAATGTCAACTATTCTTTTTGAGCTGTGCATCCCAGGTGCCAAGTGTCGTCAGAAAACATTCAGTGAAGCTCTGGACACACAGCTAGACAAGCATAGCCCGTCACCCTTGTCTGGAAAATCCGTGGCTGTTAGTTGTTTAACTCTTACAAATTTTAAATGAAATTTTGCTAATATTGAAATCATACAGCAGCTGTGTTGACCGCTGCAGTTGCGTTTTGCCTAATAGTACAAAAGCGGAATAACTAGAGTGCAATTTTTAATGGGGAAGCTCAGCACGATGAGCAAGTCTGGCTCAAAATTGGCTCTGTCACTTGAGAAGTGTAAGCATTAGGGATCCATTTAGACCTTTAGTCAGCAAATTGTTGCACGTTTTGGCTCTGCAACATCGTGGGAAAACACCAAGGTGGCACAGAGTTTTCTTTGTTATATCGAGTAGATCAGCTAATACGCTCCATTTCTTCGATCAGCGCATCGATCTACATGGATAGGGAACTGATCTTACCGGTGGCCCATGTACAGTGTTTACGTAGACAAAGGTGATGCTGAAAACAATAAATAGATTTTGTATTATGGCGAGAGAAGACCATCTGCGTATGTCGTGGTCTATTCGAGCATATGTGTACAACATAAACATGTCGTGCTCCTAGTTTATACCGCTGATTAAAGTATGTATGTCTACTTAGGAGGATTCTACGCAAAGGGATACGATGCGCCTTATACTGTATTTGGTCCCTCATTGTGGATCCACCACACATTGAATGTGACACTATTGTATGAAGAACTCAAGAATTGGGACTAGCGGTGCTCCCGACCGCTTTGATAGCGTGACATCTGAGCTCAAATACTTTCTTTAAAGTGTTCAGCGATGCAATAATACATGTAACGTATGTGTACGTAGCGCCTCGACGTCACCATCGTTACATGCAACAATTCATGGCCGGGGCTCCACCAATTGGCCTCGATCTATACATCGCACCTAAAAATAATTAATAAAGCATGATAACTATCTTGCCATTCTTTGTAGTTAAAGTAGTAACGATGTAAGATCTGTAAAAACCATAAATAAATTAGAGCCAAAACGATCTCAGCGCGAGCGTATATCTAGAATAAAGTTAATGCAGGAATGGATATGTCCAAAATGATATGTTGCTCTCGGATTTACAGGGTAGGCCATAAGAACATAACCAAGTATTGGAACGATGTAGCGAGTTTTGGTGAAAAGGTACGTACCTTGTATCCAATGCGAAAGCAAGACGTCTTGAGTGAAGCGTTCGTATTCGGGTGTCCTATGCAGAAATTTAAGGCTCTCGCAATCAATAGGAACAAAAATCAATAACAGACTCGTTGAGTGCTCTCATGCATCATTCATAATATTCGCCGTAATCTTTCGGCATGTCTTCGGAGTTGATAGTCTGAAATGTTTTTGATACTAAAATTTACCAATAGTGTGCTGGTGTAAGGATTGCGCCGACAAGTTTGTCGATGCAAGCGCGGCCAGCCGACACTGGAGCACTGCATAGGAGCTGCAAAGAAAACAGACGCAGTAAAGGAGGAACATGAGATTAGCCTTTACACTAGCACAGTGAACTAAACGTATTTCACTTTCCGATTTGCCTCCGACTCCGACTTCCGACCGCTACATTTGGTAGCACTTGTTGGTCCTCAGCCTCTCCGTCAGCTTCCTCAGCATCAGCCTCAGCCTCAGTTTCTCAGCCTCCGTTTCCTCTGCCTCGCCCGTGATCGGTTTAGCGAGGGTATTGCTTTCCAGCGAAGTGAAAGCACTGTCAGTATTGGTTGTGAGTCTGCTCTGCAGCTGACCCGGCAGTTTCTTGTGAAGTTCCACGAAATCAGTTTTCGAGGGATATCCGTTTCGAAGATCTGTAAATCCTGCCATCTTTTTGGAGGTCTGATTGTGTCACTAATTCCGACCTTTATTGGAAGGTGACAACTGATTCGGAGAAGACAGTTGCATCCATCAACGTTCGTCAAGCGTTCGTCATCCGACTGTTCGCCCAAGCGACTGTTGAAGTTCCGACCCGACCTTTCAGTGCATGTCCCGTGTCAGCAAGAAGATCAAAAATCAGACCAAGAGTGGGTACACGACTGTTCACAGTTACAAGTGTACTCTGATCCGAGATCCGAACAGAGCCGACCAAGCACGTCTAGACTTGATTGACGCGTTAGTT